TTTTTTGTTTTTCTTATAAAATTAATGTTACTTACTAATCACTTTTTACTGCTTATTTTTAATATTTTTTGATTTCTCGAATCGATTTAGATGTTTCAACTGAATCGAACAGTATTTTTATCTCAATACGAGTATTCCTAGATTTATCTTACAAAGATTCTTCATTCAACGAGCCAAATAATAAAAAATTTAAAAGAGAAAACCTTAAAAATTACATCTTTTGTAACTATTAGCGTTTTCTAATAAATCTGGATCTTAAACTTTGATCTCTAATGAAACTTAACAGTGTTAAGATAACGACAAACAAACGATTTTATATAGAGGAGGCTTGAAATCCAGCAGTGAGCTTGGTGAATAGCAAACCGAATAATAATAAAATGCACACGAAAGCTTCGTAGAAAGAGAGACGTGATGTCACAATATCTAAGTATTGTCACAAGTGTTTACTTTTACGATAGTGTGAATCAAATCTATGGTTGTATTGCCCATTAAATTATTATTTAATAATAGTTCTAATTGTCTTACTTGGGAAACTTTATTTCAACATAGAAACACGTGTATTTTATTTACTTTTTAGACACAAGCTTTAGTATCTAGACATGTCAAATACCTTAAAGTTCAAGGCGTTCAAGAGTCTCTAAGCTATTGATCACATGAAATTTCTGCTTCTATAAATTCATTAGCGTATAAATACAATGTTGCAATTTTATTTTTATATGTAAAGTGGTGAAACCCGCGAAATGGTTGGCCGTGGATGGATGCGAATAGGTGAAGATTGAGTTCAGTAACGCTTGCTACTGGAAGGACATACTGCCAGTACTGGATGGGAACGAGACGCCAACGGTGATAGTACCTACTATGGCGACACACATAGCAGATTGATGATAATAATCAATTGATGACGTCACTAATTCTAGATCATGCAACTAAAGTTTGCGCACAAATTAAGAATTGATTGACAAGGAGACGTATAAATGTTGAGCATTAGCCCCGTAGGCATGAGGGAAATATCCTCCCCACGCGGTCACCGTACGCAACATACCGGGTATCGATGATCGAACGACGATCTCCGGACACCGTAAGCATGGGTTTGCAGAAGGCGGCAAGGGCCCAAGCAAGCAAGGCCGCCTCACACTGGGCGAGAGGAATCATTGGTGATTTTACCTTCACAAGAAAGTCCCGTAGGCAACCAACCATCCAGCCTGGTCGGAAGATGCAAAATTTTCAGATCGAAAGGAACTTTCGTCTCTGTTCCCTAAAATACCAAACCATATGAAACAATGAAACAATGAATTTATTTTTGCAAATAGGCCATAAAACAGCACTTTTACACGTCAAATTATATGTGAAAAACTAGATGAAGCCGGCATTTCCTATCTGACTACTCTGAGAAGAAATGCCGAAACAAACTCAGAGGTCCGTCTCTTTTCAAGTCATACATGTACTTACGAAGCTGTCGGAAGTGACATTTAAGTACATGCATTTTTTAAAAAGCACTATTCGGCATTGACCTCCAAAAAGCAATTCTCCAAAGTCTCTTGTTGACAATTAAAATGATTAATACCGTGACTGCTCAGGGCTTTACTCTTTATACAGGTAGGTTACTACTGAGAATCACTGAGAACAATTGACATTTCCACTTTGAATCGAACCCAGTAATCATCGCCTTGGCATTTTCTCATGATCATTGTTGTTAATTCCTTTAAAGATAGCATTTCTTGAATTGTATGTAAAGTTCCACGTTCCGTCCGGATACCTTCTCACATTTTCGAAGAAAGAAAGAAATACTTCCTCAATTTTAAGTAATACCTAGCCATTTATTGCCTTATGTTTTACCTTAAAATGGTAAGGTGATGATGTAGGATCGGGAGGTAAAATGTACGGTAGGTACCTATTTATATTCAAAATAATTTTGTTAGGAATAAAATATACCAGATAGTTTTTTTATTGGAATAAAATGGCAAACGATCTATCAGATCACGGATTAGGATAATAATCGTGTGATGGATATTTGGCTTGCATGTGATGAAAAATTAATGTGCTTTTGAATAAAAAAACCTTGGAATCTGAAATAATTTTAGTATCTAGTTTTTTCCCGTTTTACGTAATCTCTTACAAATAACTTTTTTTAAAACAATACGACTACAAATTACAATTTAACTATATTGTTTATTCATTTGTTGTCTTTGATAATCAATTAAGTGGGTAGAAATGTACGTTACATAATATAGAGTGCATCGAACAACACTAGTAGATTTATTGTGAGCCATTTTTTTTGTTTTTATATTGTAGGTAGTATAACATCATTTAATATTAGACATTTAACATATAGATTTAACAGCATTCTCCTTATTAAAATGTTAATTAAAACGTTAGACATTCAGTTTCACCTAAATTTTGGACATAAATAATGCAGTTGAGAAACTTTCTGTTACTTGCTTCACTGCAGATTTGCGGTTACAAACCAAACCAATACCGAAATCGTTGTTTTCCTCTTCAAAAGTTGAATATGCTTTCTTTTACTTGTATTCTTGTTATGAAAATATTAAGTAGGTACTAGAATTTTCACCTGTGTCGTGGGCGCGTTTTTTTATCTTTTCTTTTTTAAATCGCTGTCTCTCACTAGGATTTTCTCCTGTGTCGTGGTGCATTTGCAAACATACATTTCATATACACAAGCCACCATGAACCGACACCACGATTCCACAGAGTGTTGTTCCATGAGGGAATCGAACCTGCGACACGTTGCACAGCAGCCATTTGCTTGGCCACTTCATCAACCATGTAGTCATCTTGTGTTTGTCTTGGTTATTTTTGGGTTCGTGTATATACTTAGGAAACTGAAGAGGCTACGTTTTTCCTATGGTCAAGCAGGCAAAGTACCAGTAACTTTTCTATAAACACCTAAGTATAAGCAGATTTCACAATACACATAATATCGTATTCATTATCTTTACAATTGCCACACATATGTTCATCCATCACAGTCGATCTTACAACATGCCATCGTAAATGCAATCTTAGACCTATTTGTTCACATTTCTCTGAGCAAATAATGACTCGTGGATGATCGTGCATTCAGAATGTTTATTAAAATCTGTGTTATAGTGTAAGTGTTTGTAAAAATTAACACGGTTATCCTAAAAACAGGAGGGTAAAAAAGCAATCCTTATAGATTCGTCATGTTTGTCTGCTTGTCTGTGCACACTCAGTGTGTCAATCGTATTTCACAGCTACTTTCTGCACATATATATTTTTGCAAAACTCCTACGTATGTTGTATTCATGGATAGGTCTTCAAAAGCAGAGAGTGTAGTAGAAGATTCAAACTTATTTTTTTCTAAAATGATTACTACATATTTTGCGCGAAAACCGCACAGAAATTGTTAAACAAGCGCCACATCTCCGGTGACTTTTGAAAAAAGAGAAAGATAAAAACTGAAGGCGTAGGTAAGTACCATGCAGATTTCTACCTAAAATTGGTTTTAACGAGATCTAGTAGATAGATATTTTTTCAAATCCGTCTTAAACGTAAATCCATTTTAGGTACTTAGTGCTACGGAGTCCCTTTATGTTTAGTGCGTATTCAGGCGCCTTTTAGATCTGTTTCACTTCCTTCATGTACATAGGTAAGTAATGTAACAGATAGTTTATACAAATCATGTTCCTTGTCACATTCACACGACGAAACATTTTATTTAATTTATTAGTACAGCGATACTATTTGTGACCAACGTGTATGTATGTATCTATTTCAATGTTAAGAAATTATTTATCATAGTTGATTACACACACGTGATAGTTGATTAGCGGTTTGTGATTTAATCTCAGTAGATTAAACATACAAATATTAATATTTTAAGTACATATTAGGTATATTCGTAAATTTTCTTTGTTGGAATTGGAAAAGTATTGTTTTTATTCACAACAAAGTTTTTAATGAGTCTTCAAAATAATGTAAATATGTATTATATAATAATATACTAAACACTCATATTCCATTAAAAGTGTGTAACTAAGGGCGCTGCGTGATGGTCTGATGGTGCGTGATGGGTGCGTGGAATTCATAAGAATTTATATACCTACTAAAGGAAAAAATGAGATTGACCGAATTTATTACAAACATAAGTAAATAAGGCTGACAGCGACATCTTGGCAAGTTTTTCGTAAACAGAAGACAACAAAGCATCGTATAAGATACTCGTGAATCAAATTATTTTAGATACACCAATTATTATTAAATGTTTATAAATAAAAATTACAATCACCTTATATTGTCATAGCTCATTTCTATAAAATTTAAAACATAAATACTTCTTGGCTATGAGAAGTACTTCAAGTTCCCCAAGTCGTTGTTTTGTTTCCGGGTTGCCATGGTAATGGGCACAAAATGGCGTCGTTGTCAGCTGACAAAAGTCTGCTCTATGTTTAGAGTTCAAATGTGTCCAAAGGGGAACGCAGTACGCATGCGCCCTTTATGCATCGTCCCCACGCATGAGTCAACACCCTTTCCAAGTGCGAACTCTTTACTGTTCGTGGTTCCGTTGTATGGTTTGGCATATTTGTACTGTAGGTTCCAAACACTTAAAAATATATTGTTGCATGAATAAATATTTTTGAACATTCCTGAAAGATATTTTTAAGCGTACTTTTAGTTTTTTTGCAAATCCTAAGACAGTTAATGATTGCTAAATATCTTCTGTAGGCGCATTAGTTTCCGAACGTATCAAACGATATGAAGAGAAAGGTCACAGCTGTGATAACAAAAGATTCTACATGAAGAGCGCTAATATACAATTATGACTTTCAGTGTTACTTTGTAGTAAAATAGATAACCAGTTTTCTATGTGAAACAGTAACGAATTTTTTATTTATTTGGAACTGTCGCCAATCTTTTCGAGCGGGTCCCTAAAAATGTTTCAGTGCTGACAGCTGACGGCAGGCGCTCCCGAGTTCGTTGTTATATGCGGTGTTTGTGTTGCGTTCGGCCAGTCACAGTACATCGCTGCGCGCCAACAAGCGCCGGCTGCGCGCGATACTGGCCGTAAACACTATCGAACGCGAAAGTCAATGAAAATTCAAATTTAAAAATCGAATTGCCGAACTTTTATGAATGTCATTGCTCTGAGCGTTTAGAAAATTATTAATATTCCAAATACGTTTTTTATCGTAGTGGTATTTTGTGCACGAAAATTGTTGTTTGAAAGTGTTGATAATATTTTTGTTTATGCAACATTATTGAAGTGTTTGTTTAATTAAGATTGCATTGAGAAAGGTAAGAGTGCATTTTATTCTTTATTCATTTTGTATCTTCGTTATATATTGTCCTGTATTGAAAATGAATCGCTCGAAAATTTTAGCGACGCGGACGAATTACGTTTGTGCTTTGTCATGTCATTAAAATAACGTATTGTTTATAATAAATTAAACTAGTTCATTACGATGTCTTACTAAATAGGCAAATTATTCATACAAAAAACCGTACCTATTTAATTTTTGATTCATACATTTTTGGGAGACAAAATTCTTAATAAGTACCTAAATAAAATGAAAATAATTTTGAAAAATTACTTGGATGGAAAAAAAAAACCACGAAGTTACCGATCTATCTCAATTACAGCAAAGACAAATTTGTGTAGGTACATAGACACTGAAAACGTAAATTGTATTTAATAATTAGGTACAAACGTAATTAATTTATTCTAGAGATGGTAATAAAATCGTAATTCTTTTGAGGAGGATATATTTATAATAATAGTTTTAAAGAAAAAATTCTCAGCCAACTAACGAAACTAGGCATTTTTTTATGTACAAAATACTTATATTTTTAATTATTTTTCTGACGCAAATTCAACCTGCTATGCAACTCAACCTTAAAAAATAACGCACGCCACCGTTTAGTTTACGTAGCTAAAAAGACTACGAACAAAACCTTTTTTACATCTTCTCAAACAAAAAAAGGTATGCTCTACTTTTGTGTAAGTAGAGCTACTTACCTAAACATTTACCTTTGAAAAAAAGTAGTTCGATGGTAAACGGCGCGAACGTGAATTTGCGGTCAAGCGGAATCCGACACATTTGCGTTACTTAGTTTTTTTTTGTGACGATGGTGTTAAATCACTGAAGCAGTTAAGTTTCTAAGCTTTCATGGTAATTAGGGGTTTGGATGTCATGCTTTCTAATGTACCTACGTAGTTGCAAAAGTAGAGTGTAAGTGAAATTTACCAAACCTAAGCGTTGTTATTTAGTCATTTTTTTTGTCAAATTTTTTGTCAGTAAAATAATACCTACTTATTCGATTTAAATAGATCGAGATTTTGAATAAGCGTTTTTAATTTTCTGTACATTAATACTGGTTTTATTTAGATCACGATTTTAAGTAGCTATTTCAAATTTCCATGTTCTTTACTGTATGTCTAAATTCGCGTCCTATAAGACTTTAGGTAGTACTTAATAATATAGGAAATGTACCTATCCATGTAAAAGAAGCTTATTTTAATTTCTGACGTTGCTTTAGCTTTAAGTTAGATCGTGTTGCTGGTTGCATATTTGAAAATCAAATTGAAATTAGAACAGAAGCATTAAGCAGAAACAATAAATATTTAAAAAAAAACATTACCATAAATCATTTTATTGACAAAAGTTTGTATAAATTATAATGCAATTATCTCGGTACTTAACCTGGTTACAGATCGTGTAAGGTCAGGGACTGTGCATAAATAAATTCATAGATATCTATTGTACTTATAAATTTTATTTATGACGTCTTTGTTGTTGGTGATAATATAATTACAAATATTACTTTTACAATAATATTATTAAGTAGGTATACATACCTGATTTGGAAAACTAAAATTAATTTTATGTTTTTCTGTGTGTAATATTATTAAGTAGGTATACATACCTGATTTGGAAAACTAAACTTAATTTTATGTTTTTCTGTGTGTTTTATTTGTTTTTATAAGAGTTTATTTCAAAGTCTTTGTATCGATCTAAGTGTTTCACTGATTATAACTATTACACGAATCTAGAGACAGATAGATTTTAAATCGATTAACAATTTCATTGACGAATGTTTAGAGACGACAGTCACCTTGGAGGTTGGATAAGAAAAAAAGGGATTGTCTATTAAGTACTTTTTAAATCTGAGAAGGTCGTATATTATTGAGTCAATATTGTTTATGAATACCTATCAAGGTTGGTTACTACAATCTGCGTTAATGCCTAATGCTATTGATAAGAGCCTACTGCGTGTGCGATAAAGTGAAATTTCTGTTATCTGTCATACATTTATCAATTACAGGTATTTTTTTACCTTGAATAAAGAAAAACAATAAATTCTATTAAAAAATCATTAAAATCTATAAAAAGCTGTGGAGCAAAGCTGATTTTACGTCATCAATATTATAATGTGTTACTAACCTTCCTCAATAACGGAAGGCACAAAAAAAACAAAATATTTGCATTTTTTTTTTGTTACTTTATTAACAAACGAGTTATATCTTTTCTCTTTATTACACTAGATATTTCGCCAAGTATAATGTTTTATAGTCTATGATAACCTTCTTTGATTTATGGTCTTTCCAACACAAAAAGCTTCAGCAGTTATTGAGATTAGCGCGCTTATACAAACATACTATAATTATTATAAGCGTAGATGTATATTAAATTAAAATCCAATGTTAGTTGCACATCCAGTAGCTTATATGAGCGTTAATCTTTGTGAGTTGACATTCACAATTAGAAAGTTTTTTTTTATAGTTGAGGCTCAGCGTGCACTCTGTGTATTAGGGTCATGGCTAACGATCATCGAGAGATGAGAACATGAGTACAAGTGAAATGCATAGTTTTATTACCACTAGAAATCATTAAGAATCTCTTTCATCATCGAGGTTACTTAAAAATGCAAAGTGGTAGGTAACCTAAAGAAAAATACATCGATACTAAATCGATAGAAAAGAATAAAAAAATACGATCTTTTAATTATTTTTTCTGCCTGCGTTCCAGTTGTTTTTATTATTTTTAGTATAGTACCTATAGTATTTTTTTGTTGGACTATAATCTATATTGTTAAGTTTTAGCTACGTGTTTTTTAAATAATTAACAAATTAATAATCACGAAATAGTCGTAATGAAATTTATTTTACGATTTTTTTAAATCGAATTAAATTATATGAATCCAGTATTTTATATAGTTTAAAGTGGAAGCAATTTTGTGTGACTGGTGGCTGTTATTATTTATTTCAGGGTCAATAATAATTATTTTACTATTCTGTAACAACGTATGCTTTATTTGAACCGAATCGGAATCATTGATGGAATATTTTGATAACTTCTAATCGTGTTCACGATAAAAAGATAGCTACCGTTTACATACATGTAATCCTAGTTGTATGTATTTAACATGCATACGTTATAATCCTAAGTACTAATATTATTTTACTTACTTCGATACCTTATTGACTAGTGTATAGATGTTTGTACGTCTGTTACTGTTTTACTCAAAAACTGCCGGACTGATGGGAATGAAATCCTGTACACGGATAGTTTAAAGTTAGAAATTAAATATTTTATCCCGAAAACGCGAGTGATGCTATGGGCAGAGCTATGTAGGTATGTTTTGTACAAAATCTAGGTATGTAGGTACCCACAACTTACCTAATACAAATTTGGCTTTGAATTGAATAAAACATGAAAAGTGACCTCTTTCACTGTGATACGGTAGTTTCCAACTAGTCAAATTCAATACTTTTATCCAAATGTCAAAAACGATACTTTTCTATGAAATTTGTATGAAAAACTGAGGTATGACGTCATAACAGTTTTGCGTCAAATATATAGCTTACTTATTTCTGAATAATGAGCTAAAAAAATCTAAAACTTTGTGTATCGATCGATCGATGAATAAAAGTATAGTTAGGTATTTTTCAATATTTTTTTGTATTAAAACGTCGAATTAATTTATTTTTAACCTAGGACACTACCCAATTGTAAATATGTAATGCTTCATGTTATTCCAATTAAGACAAATTTTAATTTCCACTGTTTTGGAAAAAATCATTTGGTAGGGTAAGACCAAAAGTACAGCCTTGTCGATGATTTATATAAGATTAGGATTTAAATATTAGTCTATGGAAAAATTGTAAGAACCGTCTACATATTAGTTGACAAACAACCGAGAAATAAACTTGAAAATTCGTTAAAGAAAAAACAAACAAAGTTAGGTATTATTTTAGTCATCAATATGTAGATTAGGATGATTGTACATAGGTACATAATATACTTGGAGATATCAGACACTAAAATATATGAAAGAAAAAACTTATTCTTAGAATAATGACATGGCGATTGGGAGCACTTTAAAATCAGCACCACACAAGAACTAATGATGATTGTTTAAAAACGTTTATCTGGCGCGGGTTTTCATACAATTTAAAAAAAATCCTTTTAACGACTTTTAGATTTATTTGAAACTTTTAGATTAGGTAAACGTGCTTTAAAATATTAATTGACATTTAAATTTAAGTCTATCACGTGTAAAAGTCGTTATTTTCAATAAATTCTCTATAAATATATTCTAATTATTTTCAAGTATCTTCTTAAAGCTACTAACGTGTATGAGTTCCAAAGTGTGCAAGAAAAGCCGTGCCACGGAACTGCGACGGTATTGGAATGATTAGCTGGTAACACAGCTTCGGGGCCGATTAATTTTGATTGGTACATCGCGTGACGAAACTAATTCATATTCCGAATTATATAAATAATTATAATAGTTATGCACTGCCTAATGATACTGTTCTTCATTTCGTTGAAATCCCATATTAATATTTTTTAACAATGACCAAGATGTAGAACAAATTTACATAAAGAAACACACTATTACATTAACTTATGTACTTACTTAAAAATAATTTGGTTTTTTATAGCAGTTTATTAGCCATACGATTTTGTTTTGTACTTATCATGTCTATTCTTTTTATTCTAAGCTTACTAGGAAATGACACATGAAGCCCATTTAAATATTAATATTAGAATCATAAAAGTACCTGTACTATATTATAAATGTAAGAAGATAGACACAGAAAAATAATATTACTGTCTTTTTTGATGTCAGTAAAAAAAATTTGGTATATTGTGTCCCAACTACCTACAACTATAACATGTGGTTGACATAAGATGACTTTGAAATGTGCCCTTACGTGGCCATGTGCATTTTTTGTGCTCAAATATCTGAAGCAAATTAGTGATTGGAAATGACTAGAATTACTTTAACCA